TTACATTGTTGAGCACTACAAGTCTATAAACATATTATCAAGAGTTCCTAGTTTAAATTTTAATTTCAGTATTAAGATGATATTTATGTTTTTTAAATTAATTATATCATATGATTAATGTCTAATAGACTCGATTGGTACCTCTGAACTAATAAAAAACATTAATGTGTTAGGTTTTTATTTTTAATACTAAATTGTTACAAATAACTTATTACAATTTTATATTGTATATTCTTCATTATCTTCACTTAACCACTGAGTGTTACGATCAAAATATTTTATAATCAGCAGGTCTATTGATATATATTTCAATATCATATTATTTCCATTTTTTCTTGTCATATGTCTAACGGTTACCCAATAATTATGTGTTATGATTTAGACATTTTTCACTAAAGGACACTGTATAAGCAATTCAATACAAATATTTGATGGTGTACCAAGCTTAAATGTCAATACATCGCCTTTATTAATGTTTGTATTATGTAATTCATGAAATTTAAATGATTTGTTATTTATTAAAACATCTCCATCGGCTTTGTAATGAGAAACACTTTCGATTTTAGCCGATAAAGGAAACTTAAAACCAGTGCCACCATTATCTAATACATAAAAACTTTTATTTAAACTTGTTTTCTTTTCACCTCTTATTCGAATTAAACATTTAACATGATAATCAAAAGAATCACAAATATAAAATGGTGCATTTAAAAGTGGAGAAGGTGATGACACTATTTCATCAGAACAGGAGGAAGAGGATATAAGATAATGTTGATTGAATTTATTAAGAGGCATAACTTCAAATGATAAAATTTTTTGGTTGCAGAGTCATTTATAAGAATCAGTGTTCTAAAGGACATTGCAAAACCATCTCCAAATATAAGGATAGGCTAGGTTGATTGTGATTGAATTTAAATTCCATAATATCACCTTTATTTAAAATATTTCCATTTATTAAATCTTCAATTTTCGTTGATTGATTTTTATAGTTAACGTAAAGAATATTTGGATCGCATTGAACACGTACTACTTTACCAGTTACTGGTATTTCATAAGTACTTGTACCATTTTCTAAGATATAATGTATATTATTCTTCTTGCCAATAAAAGAGCCTCGAATATAAATTATACATGTACCATAATATTCAGTAGGTTGACAAATGTAAAATGGTACAGATTGAGAAGGTGCTCCAACCACTTCTTCAGAACAAGAAGGATTTGAAGTAAGAAAATGTTGATTAAACTTGTTGAGAGGCATGATGTAAACTGTGAAATAAATTTCTTTATCATTGTATTTATGATATTATTCCACCTTCTCGTAATTCTTCTACAATTGAAACAATTTCATTATTATGACCTGTATTTCCTGCTGATTGAGAAGCAATTAGTAACCGTAACCTATCAATTAATTCATTATAATTATCAAAATATTTATAATCAATTTTCTTGGTGTTAAAATTCATTAAAATTCCACCACCACTTTTCTTAACATTTTGACTGCGCAATGTACGTGAGGTAGATTTTTTAGGATCTAAAAGTTTAGATATTTTTGGAGATTTAGTTTGTAAACGAGGAAGAGAACTTTGTGGGAGTGAATTGGATCTACTTCTTTGTAAATCTTGACTCATTGAATATAAGTTTGTAACCCGAGGTTTAATTATATCAATAAATTTTTTAGCATTTGAAGTAGATAAACCTTTTTCAGGGTTATAACCTAAATACTGAGCATTTGTTCGTTTAACGATATCTATAAAATTATCAACATCCTCCGGTCTATATCCAGTAGGAAACTTCTTAAAAAGTAACTCATAGAGACCGGGAGTACCTTTATATTTTAAATCTTGAATTATAATATCACGACCATCAAAATTAATTACAGAATCTCCGAAAGACCATTCTTTAGACTCTGGATAAAAGTATACACCAAATGTATGATCAAAATTTCCTTCATTATCATTTAATAAATCTTCAATGTAACCTCTTGGTAAAGGATTATATTTATTTAAATAACTATCAAATACTTCTTGTGGTACTTCCGGAGTCACTTCTTCAGGATTATCATCAATAAATGTTTCACCAAATTCTGGTTGAATGATTGAACCAGTAAGATTTGGCATAAACTTATAATATTGTGATATGTTACTAGGTGTTTTAGGTTCATGCTTTATTTCTGTTTTCAATGGAGCTGATGAAATAAATTTTTGAATAGGTTCAATGAGTGGTTGTAGTTGTTCCTTGAATTGTTTTTGAGAAAATGCTTTTTCTTGTTTTAGTAAATTATATTTATCCTTTAATACTTTCCGTGATTGAATTAGCTGTTTTCGTATTAGATCACTCATTCTGACTAATATAGTTTTCAATTTTTAAAGCTTTATATAAGAATCAAACCCTTTTCTATATCTACCAGAAGATATTTCACAATCTTTATCTATAACAAAAAAATCATACTTATTTTTCCAACAAGAAGAAGCTATATTTTTAAATTGTTGATATTCCATATCAATATTTGCATGATCATCATAAATATGTTTCAGGTTAGTACAGTCTTGAGAAAATATAATTATTAGGTTGGCGTTATCTCGAATCAATTGTTTGGGTATTGCTGAATATGTTTGACATAAATAAAAACAATCTGTACTTTTATGACGTCCGAAAGAAAAGTAGCTTTTTATAATATTTTGATCGCATGATGCCACATCATCGAATATAATTATTGAATTATTTTTAATGTTTTCTGGAGAAGGTATTTCTTCACTATCACTATATTCTTGATAACCAATTTCTGATAAAGGTTGCAATAATTCTCTTAAATATTCATACTTAGGTTGATGTAGTGATTTCGAATAAAGATAAATATTTTCAAATCTTAATCCATTGGGATGTTCTAACAGAGACAACATAATGTTTTAGTGTGGGGTATAAATAATCAATTTAAATTTGAAATACCCATAGGTGCTTATGAAATAAATGACATAATTAAAATTATAGAAAAACAAGTATTTGACAGCGGTGCTACAATTCGAATAACACCAGATGTAAAAACATCTACAATTACAATAAAAAGTAGTGAGTGGATAAATTTTAGTGTTAATAACTCGATTGGTAACCTACTTGGATTCTCTAAAACTAAACTTGAACCAGATATAAGTCATACTTCAAATAAAATAAATATTTTAAAAGTTAATACAATATGTGTTGATTGTAATATTGCTGTTGGATCCTTTTTAAATGGTAATCCAGTTCATATAATTCACGAATTTTTCCCGCAAGTTCCAAATGGATATAAAATAGTGGAGCAACCTGTAACATTACTGTATTATCCTGTTAGTGTCAAAACCATAAACAGCATTACTATTAAGGTTATTTATCAAACTGGTGAATTGATAGATTTTCGTAAAGAGACGATAACTGTTCGGTTACATCTTAAAAAAGTTGAATAATTATGGTTTTAATATTTAATCAAGTAGAATATCTAAATAAAAGACCACAGTATAAAAGGCGTTGTTATAGAAAGAAAATTAGTAATAAATCAACCATTCCGTTGATAACATCTAAAAATCGACTTTTTTTGAAATCTATAGGATTTAAAGTTTTAGTATAATGGAAATGTTAAATGTTACAGGGGAACCTTTTAGTGATACTACAATTGAAGATTATCAATTTCATATTTATCAGTCAAATACATCAGCTATTCCAAATTATAATGATGAAATTAGAATAACTATAGAAGAACTTGATGCTTATACTCTACCTTGTAATAGCTATATTTATATGGAAGGTAAAATGTTAACAGATCAGAAAAAAGTACCTACTAAATTTGAATTTATTAATAATAGTATCGCTTATATGTTTAAAGAAATTAGATATGTATTAAATGGTGTAACAATTGATTCTGTAAGACAAGTTGGTTTAGTTTCGAGCTTGAAAAATTACTTATAAATAAATGATAATGAAAGTAAATTATTGCAAAACGCTGGTTGGTTTCCAAAAGGTGAACAAAAAATTTTATTAGATAAAAATGGAAATTTTAATGTAAATATACCTTTAAAAATGTTTTCCGGATTTTTTGAAGATTTTAGAAAAATAATATTAAATATGAAACAAGATTTAATTTTAATTAGATCTAGTGATGATATTGATGCAGTTCTTGCAAAAGATGAAACAGAAAAACCAAACATTCAGATAACTAAATTGTTTTGGAATGTACCCCAAATTACAGTTAATATCGAAGAACAACTACGCTTGAATAATATAATTAGTAAAAATATTGAATTACCTATTAAGTTTAGAAGTTGGGATCTAATTGAGTATCCTACTTTAAATGATTCCACACGTCATACGTGGGCAGTAAAAACTTCAACAAAATTAGAAACACCTAGACATATTATAATAGCATTTCAAAAAGATCGAAAAGGTCAACTTTTAAAAGATATGAGTAAATTTGATCATTGTAATCTATCAAATATTAGGGTTTTCTTAAATTCCGATCGTTTTCCCTATCACGATTTAAATTTAGATTTTGATACTAACCGTTTTGCAACTTTGTATGAAATGTTTGCTAGCTTTCAAGAATCTTACTATCATATTCAAACAAACCAACCTATATTCAACCCCGAAGAATTTAAAACAAAATGTCCGATAGTTCATATTGATTGTTCTCGTCAAAAAGAAGTAATTCAAAGTGGTTCCGTTTCTCTTAGAATTGAATTTGAAACTAGTAAGCCTACAGGAAATGATGTGTCAGCTTTCTGTCTAATTTTACATGAAAAAGAATTTTTTTATAATCCTCTAACAAAAATAGTACGACAGAAGTAATTGCGCAAGTTCTTTTAATTTTAATTTATATTCAAGTTTTTCCTATTTCAATATTAGTTAATGATGTTACATGAGTACAAACAGAGGTTACAACAATATCTGCAAAATATATTAAAACTAAAAGCGGATATTGAATATTATGAAAAAAGAAGACAAGTTGAAGAGCAACTATATAATTTGAAAATATGAAATTGGTAGTAGATGTTCAAGGTTTTAAAATAGAAAACAATAAGTTTATAGTTAAAGAATTTGCTGCTTTTAATGGTTCACAAGTATGTCACTATGTATTCAAGCCACCCTTTCCTTTGAGGATGTTGCCTTCCGATTTACACAAGCAAGCTACTTGGTTAATGAATAACCATCATGCTATTGATTGGAATAATGGATATACTCCACTGCATCATTTTGGAAGTATATTTCAAAAACTTATTAAAGATATTGACTGTATCTACGTTAAAGGAATGGAAAAAGCAAACTATATTAAGAAATTTTCAACTGTTCCTGTATATGAAATTGATGAACAACCTGCTTTTGAACTTGGAGAACCTTTATGTTTTTATCATAAAAATAATAAATGTATTTGTGCTTTATCTAATGTATATTTTTTATATAATAAATATATGATGCAAAATTAAAACAATTTTTTTTATTTACATAATTTATTGATAATATAATTTATTGACAACATAATTTATAAACAACTATTTCATTATTCTGATAGGTCTAATCCTTTTCTTAGTTATAGTAACAAAATTGAAAGTTTTATTCATTAATTGTCGTTTATCAAATTTTTTCATATTTTTTCTTAACTCTTCAAGTTTTTGTTTATAATCTTGTAAAGACATGTTTAAGAATAAAAAAATCATAATTGTAAGTAATACTTTATTTTATTTAAATAACCCCTCCACTTTCATAAAAATAAAACTAATAAATATCTAATAAATGTTTATTATTATATTATAATAAATTTAATAGTTGTATTCCAAATCTAATATATCTGGAACATCTTCAAATTCTTCCATCTCAAATACTTCTACTGGATTTAAAGTTTCATTCCAAACCTGACCATTTTCACTCTGAGAATCTTCATTTTCCGTTGAATTGAATTTCATTAGCTTCTCTCGTAAATAAGCTGGTAAAAAGTCTATTATATCATCGAGTTCCCGTAAATAACTAAATTCAGCCATCTTACCACACCAACATTCTAAGCATCCATTATTCTGTAGCTTTACGGTGAATTGTAGAACTTTTTCATAAACTTCACATTGTTCTTTACAAAATGTTTGAGAATAGTTTTGATATTTTGATTCTCGTACCCATCTATATCCTTGTCTATTAAACTCATACACTAACTTTTTTATTGCACTTTTTAAATCTGTGACAATTGGTGGATAACACATTTTTTTTGTTGCAATACTTTTTGAAATGAAATTCTAAAGACTCTGAATATATTTATATATTTATAAAAATTCCCTCCCTTTAATCTTTCCTCATATTTAAGGTGGTGGGGGGGTTGCTCTTGACCTTGGAAATTTTCTTTCTTATATTAAACATTTACATAAACATTGATTTTTACTAAAAATAGATTTCCTAAAATAAATTTCTTAAAATAGGTTTCGTAAAATAGATTTCTTAAAATAGATTTCTTAAAATAGATTTCTTAAAATAGATTTCTTTAAATAGATTTTTTAAAATAGATTTCTTAAAATAGATTTCTTAAAATAGATTTCTTAAAATAGATTTCTTAAAAGGTCGTGTGTGACATTGACCTTGACCTTGACCTTGAGATTTCTTAAAATAGATTTCTTAAAATAGATTTCTTAAAATAGATTTCTTAAAATAGATTTCTTAAAATAGATTTCTTAAAATAGATTTCTTAAAATAGATTTCTTAAAATAGATTTCTTAAAATAGATTTCTTAAAATAGATTTCTTAAAATAGATTTCTTAAAATAGATTTCTTAAAATAGATTTCTTAAAATAGATTTCTTAAAATAGATTTCTCAAAATAGATTTCTTAAAATAGATTTCTTAAAATAGATTTCTTAAAATAGATTTCTTAAAATAGATTTCTTAAAATAGATTTCTTAAAATAGATTTCTTAAAATAGATTTCTTAAAATAGATTTCTTAAAATAGATTTCTTAAAATAGATTTCTTAAAATAGATTTCTTAAAATAGATTTCTTAAAATAGATTTCTTAAAATAGATTTCTTAAAATAGATTTCTTAAAATAGATTTCTTAAAATAGATTTCTTAAAATAGATTTCTTAAAATAGATTTCTTAAAATAGATTTCTTAAAATAGATTTCTTAAAATAGATTTCTTAAAATAGATTTCTTAAAATAGATTTCTTAAAATAGATTTCTTAAAATAGATTTCTTAAAATAGATTTCTTAAAATAGATTTCTTAAAATAGATTTCTTAAAATAGATTTCTTAAAACAATAATGAATATGTGAGGTTGCGTAGAAATTGCGCGAAACGGGTCCTTGTGTGATTGGGTCATGTGGGTTGTGTGTGATCGGTACATGACCTTGTCCGCGTGTGTACGGGCACGTGGGTTGTGTGTGGTCGGTGGCTGAACTTTTCCGCGTGTATACGGACATGTGGGTTGTCCGTGACCTTGATCTTGACCTTGGCACGTGGGATCCTTATCTTTCTTATCTTCCTTATCTCTTATCAGTGGCCTAGTCCTTGTCTTTGACCTTAACCTTGACCTTGCTTAAAATAGATTCTTATCAGTGGTCTTGACCTTGGCCTTGTCTTTGACCTTAACCTTGACCTTGCTAAAAATAGATTCTTATCAGTGGCCTTGACCTTGATACGTGGGCGGTTCTAAAAATAGATCCTTATCTCTCTTATCAGTGGCCTTGACCTTGACACGTGGGCGGTTCTAAAAATAGATCCCTCTCTCTTATCAGTGGCCTTGACCTTGACACGTGGGCGGTTCTAAAAATAGATCCTTATCTTTCTTATCTTCCTTATCTCTTATCAGTGGTCTAGTCCTTGTCTTTGACCTTAACCTTGACCTTGCTAAAAATAGATTCTTATCAGTGGCCTTGACCTTGACACGTGGGCGGTTCTAAAAATAGATCCTTATCTCTCTTATCAGTGGCCTTGACCTTGACCTCTTATCTTATCTCTTATCTCTCACTTCCTGTCGAATATTGGCTTTGTTTATCTACTGCCATGGAAACCGATGAGCAGATTTTGACGCAGATTTTTTTTAAAAAGCGTCTCGTGGGTCTACACCTCTGCCCAAGTTTCCTCGAAATCGGTCCATCTGTTCCGACGGTACGATTTTTTAAACTCACCCGGAAACCCCTCATACGAAATTGGTCCGAAAAAAAATGGCGCCCGATGAAAAATCCGTGTGCGTGGTGAGGTAGAGAGGTGCAAAGGGTGTTTAAGAAAAATATTAAAAAAAATATTTCTTTTTAATAAACCGTCTAAAAACGATAAAGAAATTTTCAAAACGTCATAAAGTGACAGTTGACAGGAGACAAAAAATACCTTCTTATCAGTCCCCTCGCATATCTTGAGCGTCTACCGTTTATGAATACTCCCTTCCAACATGCACCCAATTCTCAGAAAAGCGACACGGCTGATTTTTGCACGATTTTTCGTGGTTTTTCACGGTTTCCATGAAAACCGCCAAACAGATTTTGACGCCGATTTTTTTTAAAAAGCGTCTCGTGCAATTTTTTTTTTATTTTGGAATCCCTATTTTACTAACAAAAGGAAATATTTCTATCGAAACTATTATTTTTTTTAGTATTAGTTTTCGAAAAAACAAGTGGATATGTTTTGGGAATTCGGGAATATATAGACCAGTGTTTCTCAAACTTTTTTGGCGACGGAACCTTTTTGAATAGCAAAATATTTGACGGAGCCCTAAAAAAAGGTACTCAAGCAAAATCATATCCTCCTTCCTCTTAGTGACTTCTAAAAAAAAAGGTTCTGAAGCCAGGTCCCGCCCGTTTGTGGCGATAGTACTGCTTCTTTTTTTTTATTATGACTATTATTTTCTTCGCGGAGCCCCCACAAAGGCTTTGCAGAGCCCCAGGACTCCGCGGAGCACACTTTGAGTAACGATGATATAGACAATCAATGTCAGTTATTGTAAATAAAAAGAATTAAAAATCTAATGTGGGGACTCCGCGAAGAAAATAATAGTCAAAATAAAAAAAAAGAAAGAAACAGGGACCTGGCTTGAGGCCCTTTTTTTTAGAAGTCACTAAGAGGAAGGAGGATATGATTTTGCTTGAGGATCTTTTTTTAGGGCTTCGTCAAATATTTCGCTTTTCAAAAAGGTTCCGTCGACAAAAAAGTTTGAGAAACACTGATCTAGACTATTTTATTATCTACATATTATTTTGATCTCAATTCCGCTCACTCTTGCTAAGTTAAGTCTTAGTAAATTAAGAGCTAAGACTTAAGAGTCGTTAATGTTCCCATAATAGATCTGAATAAGTCGCAGTTGTCATGGACAAATAATGCCCAACTCCTTTTAAATCTACGTTTTCCTTGACCTGTCTTTCTTATTCTTTCTTCCCTCAACCTTAAACCTAGCCTGCTCTGCTTTTTACCTCATTCCATTCATGTTTTCTCCATTTCTCGTCTCTCTTTTTTATCCTTCATTTTTGTTTTATCTATCAAAGATTTTATCCATATCACTATTTACATTCTTTGTAAGGCAGATATAAAATTTGGCACACATTCATACTAGCTGACTTTATAGAAAATTGTTTTTTAAATCGATACTGTTAAATACTATTTATAATATTTTATTAGTTTATAATAAATATAAAACTTTCCTTAAACTGAAATTTTTGTTCCAATTAACGTATTCTAAATCCAATTCTGGGACACCCTGTAGCATGAAAGGGGAGAAATAAAATGTTTAAACTTGAGGCCTTCGCCCTATCATCGTGGATGTAACTGTAATGTTATTTTTTTTCTAGTAGGTACTTAAATTTAAGTCGCCTTGTCCTCTTTCAAGTAGTTTTGATATTTATATAACCCATTTACCTATTTATAAATTACGTATATATTTTTATCAATGAATCATGTCGAAATGTTATTAAACGTAAAGTAAAATATTTAACAAAATTATATATTTTACCTTATTTTTACAAAAACCACTATCTTGTTGTTATGAAAATACCTTTTAGGAAACACTAAAAACAACATTTTACGTATTATCTAAATTCAACTCAATCCAATATTACTATCAGTCTTTCTTTATAGACGGTTATAGTTTTCGAACATCGCATATCGTAAATGGATTATTTCCGGTTTGTTCCCTATCAAAACAATAAAATTATCATTAAAGTTGTTAACACCATTTTTTATTCAATTCTCTAGATCTGCTACCAATTATTATTATTATTATTATTATTATTATTATTATTATTATTATTATTATTATTATTATTCAGTTACTAGGTATTCAAAGGAAACGGCGGCAGACGTTGTAAAGGCTTTTTTTAATTTAAATTTAATTTGCTCGGTTCATAATAGTATTTGATGACGCCATTTAACATAAATCTTTCAATCATAACTCCAGGTATAGAAACACAGTGCCTTTGAATAGAGAGAAGTAGAATAATACATCGAATCGCAATATCCCATT